CGTGGGTTTCCCGGGCTCCCACGGGTGAACCAGGCGGATGCCAGAATGAGCAAAGCGAGCACAGCCTTCCCCAAAACTCGGGGGGTTGGCGAGGCAGGGAGGAGGCTGTCATTGCGCCTCAGGAGCTGATGAGGAAGAGCCCGAGGAGCATATTTACAGGGAAATATGCCAGTCATACCCCCTGAGAATACATTCTGCCACCTTCATCACTCCGGGATATTTCAAGCTCCTCCACCCATAAAGCAAACACGTTCATCAGCGAGGAGCAAACGGAACCGCTCAGGGGAAAGAGCCTGAGTCCCAGCTGAGATGCGATTGCAAAGCAGCAAACCCTGCCAGCAGCCTGGTCCTCCTGCAGGAGCATCCTCCTCGGGCCAGGGGCTCACGGCGCTGTCCCCAGGCAGAGCAGGACGTCACAGAGCGCATCGGCCCCTGGCCCTTGCTCTGCTAACCCAGCCACCGCCTGGTATCTCAGGCTTGCTTGCCTCCTAAACCAGAGACATTAATTCTGGTGGTGCTGCAAAGCCTACAGTGGAAAAGAAACCGTGTCACAGAATAATTTTGGTTGAACCCAATCTGGATATCTTTACCCCAAGCTCCTGCTCAGAGCAGGACTAGCTCCCAAGTCAGACCAGACAAGTGTTGAAACTTCCCAGGAAGGGCATCTGCCCCTCCCTGACACGGCCAAAATGAGCCCGGGGTACCAGCACACCACCACATTCCCACACCTCTTTCAAAGCAGCCAAGCTCCCTAGCCTAGACAAGCTCTTGGCCTCTTCTGTTCCACTTTCTATCTGAAAGGAAGGAGGGGAGCATTCAGGATATTTTAGTTTCCACACACCTTGGAAGCATCAGCAGGTTCGTGCAAAGAAAGGATTATTTACGAGCTTGACTGGAGCTGTCCCAAACCCAGGCTCCCTGCAGCCCGGTATTTATCAGTACTACAAGGATAAACGCAGCACGCAAGGATACTGTGATAAATGCAAGCAGTTTTCTAGTGAGTCATCATGTCCTGCAACAGCTGGCGAACACAAAAGGTGCAAACAAAAATTCTAGCAAGGACTGCAAGAGAGTAAAGAAAACCTCCAGCTCTGTCTTCAGTCTGAACAGTGACGAAGGAGATTATTAATTAAGCGTGCTCTTAGAGGAGAAAGAACCAGTATAAGGACAATTAAAAGAACATACAGTGGAGGGCAAAAGATTATTTATGATACGAAGTAACAGCCCAGCTACTCTTTCTCCCTTCCACAGGCCCAATGGGAAGGATTAACGGGACGAATTGTCTTTAATAAAACTAGTGGTTTACGGACCGATTTTGATTTGGATATCATCAGCCTCAAAGAAGATGGCCTTGAAAAGGTAGGCAGGGTTTGTTTTATCTGCGTACGGCTTAGTCTAACTCTGATATTCAGGCGACAGAGAAAAAGGTTGGTGGTTGTATTGTTTCCAGGTTTTCTGCTTTCTGTATAACAGGATATTTGTGGGATTTCTCAGATCCTCTTCCATGCCTCAGCCATGACTCACTCGCCCCGAAGTGATGCGTGTGGGATTACAGTCAGGAGCTGCAGAAGTGCTTGTGGCACTTTCCTGGGATAGTGGAAGCAGAAGAAACTTTCTGAACAGCCATTAACCTCTCCTTGCCCAGGCCAGAGGTGGAAGGAGCAAAGCCTGTCCCACCCTCCATCTTCCCGGGCTTGCTTACGAAATGTTGGTTCTTCCCCGAGGAGGCAACAGCTCTTGAAAGCATCACCCCGGTGTGATTCCCGACCGTGAAAATTGTCTAAAGCTTCGAAATAGCACCAGCTTCTTACAGCCTAGATTTTGCAGGAGGATGCAGCACGTCATTTTTGTTTCTTTCCTCTCTAAGGGACAATAAGAAACAAAGCAAAGGGCATTTTTGCCAGGCTGGCTGGAGTGGTCTTTGCCCGGCCACCCTGAGACGACGTGGCACAAAGGCTGCAGCCTCAGATCCTCCTAATTAGGGCAAATCTCCTCTGGGCACAGAAACAGGATGCTGATGCGCAAATCTGATTTTCAGGTGTTCATGGGGATTTCATTTCCTTTCTTTAATTACTTTTTTTTAAAAAAAAAAGCACTATGCGAAGCACTACAGCTCCTAGAACACAGGTTTCAAGGTGAGGTCAGTTCACTTAGGACAAAAGAGCCGCAGAGCCCCTTCTAGAGCAGGGTCTGCTTTCCCACACGTGCAAGGTGCCGCTGGCAGGTAGGGCTGGGCGCCGGGTGCTGAGCCCCTGGGCACGCAGGTGGGTGATGCTGCCACGGGAGAGGGGTTTTTCAATTAACCTAGCAGCGAGCGGCCGACACGCACACGGCTGCTCCGGCAGAGGCTGGGGAATTCATGGCAGAGCGCAGGCAGGCAGCGCTCGGGGCGGGAGGCAGGAGTTTGATCAACCCGCCTGTTCGCAGGGGACGGATCCTGCGCCATGAAGCCCCCTGGCACCAAACAGCTTGACTTCCCCACCCCTCTCTTCTACAGTTTGTTTTTCCTTCGCTAGAAATAAATTGTTGCCACGCTTTCCCACCACAGCAGTAGTTCAGTTGCTTCATGTACAAAACCCTCAAGGTCACCAGAGCACTCTCCGAGGAGGCATTTTCTGGTGTCAAATGCAGAATAAAGAAAAGGTTTCAAAGAAACCCAATGACCTTTGGTCTCAGCTGCCACCAGCCCAGCCCGGGCAGGAGAAGGCAGGAGAGGATGCCACCTTCTCACCAGCTCTGAGCAGATCATCTGTCTGCCTTGACTTCCTTTTATACAAAATATTTTGTTTACAGAGTCTAAACCACAAAAAAACCCCCGAAAACAACGTATCTTTTTGGAGTACTGTGGGAGAGCTGTGCTGGTAGGATACCAGGGAAAGGGATCCCTTGTAAATCTAAACGTTCCAGCGCAACCGCAATATCTATCTGTCAGCCTAACACTCATCAGGTGTACGGGGAACAGCTGGCAGCAGCTGTATTTATTGCTATTGTGTGTCACATAAAGCCTGTCGGAACCCTGATGCATGCTCTGTGCAGCCATTCAACTTTTTGTCTCCGACAATTCAGAGATTTCACCGTTCCCGCTATGGCTTTCCTGAAAGCTGCTTGTCAGCTCTAGAGGGGTTTTAAAGTATCGATGTCAAATCTCAGCTGAAGCTGGGTTTCTGTCAATGGTTAATCTGAAATAACAAAACGCCGAACTACAAACAAATCCCACCCGGATTGTGCATTATGGATAATAGCTTATGTTTGCTGAGCTTTAGGATTGAACTCCTGATCCTTATACCTCCTGGATGTTCCAGGGATTACAGGAGTATTAACTAAACCTAATTACATGTAGTTTGACTATCTGGCTCGCACAGCCCTCTTAATGCAGTTCTTTTCTTTTCCTTTCCTTTTTTTAATATTTTAACCTGATTAATTCAGTCTTAAGTGCCAAGTATTTAATTTTCTTAAGGACAACTTAGCAAGGCATAGTTAACTGAGTCCGCGGTGCTGCTGGCAGGGGCCTCTTAGACTTGCTCCTCTTTTCCCATGCTCAGTAGTGATTTTTTGACATTGCAGGGGGCTTGCTTACTTTGCCCTGAAATATTTAGAGCCCTTCATAAAGTTCAAGGCAACTCTTCGAGAATTTATGACTTTTTTTTTTTGCCAGGCAGCGCTGCTCATTACAAAGTCTCTTTTGGGGGATGCAGTAAAACCAAGTGCTCCTCTTGCGCTGCCGAAGAGGTTGAAGAATCTTAAAAATAGCAATACATAAAATACGGGAAGCTCCTGGCTCCCCGGGTCTGAGCTGTCTGCCTTTGGTCTCTCTCTGAGCCCCATCAGGCGGTTTGACCCTGCACATGGATCATTCTGTTCTCATTTCCACGTGGGGTTCTGTTTTTTCTCCCCGTCACGCTGGTGGTATGACCACCCTGCTCCGTCTGCTGGCAGCGATCCCGTGTTCCTCCAGCTTTTCCTGACATTTTATCTCTCTGTCACAGTCCTTTAGCCAGTCCTGCCTTCAGAGGTTGTTCTAAAGCCTCCCCTGCACTGCGGAGATCGGGTTAACAGGCTTAGAGTTACCCAGATGACTTCTCTTAAATAGAGACACGTTTTGCTATTTCTGGATCAATAGACTTCTTCAGAGTCTATTAATTTATTAAAATTGACAGCTTGAGAAAAATGGAGCAGCTCTAACTGGTGAGGAATGCCTGTGCCCATGCCTGAGCAGGGCTGCTGCCATTCCCTCCTCCAGCTTTGCTGCTGGGACCAAGATGTCCCAACACTGTGGATGTCCCTGAAGTGGGGACCAGGACCCTTCCAAGGGGACCCGTTAGAAACATCCATCTAGTTTGCTGCAGGGCAGAGGACAGGAATGATCCCTATGAGGGATTTGCAGAGCCAGACAAGTAATTTTTAAATCTCCCCGCCAAAGCACATCGGTGGGGAAATAAAAACTGCCTCACGTTTGTGGTGGGTTTGGGTTTTTTCCTTTTGTTCTGCTTTATCCTTGCCCGGAGGTGACTCTTCAGTGCGGTTTGGCTGTTTGCTCTACACAGTACCTTTCAAATTGTTCATTCAGCCCCTAAATTAACCAGCCTTCAAGCTTTTCTGTCACACACCCGCGTCAGGGGGCAGCGGAGGGGTTGTCTGTTAACGTGTGCAGCCAGAGTGAGCTCAGCTGAAGGGTTAATGCAGATCTTCTACTCAGGTGACAAAACACGGTAATTTCAGCTTTGCTTCTGTTTGCTGTAGATGACAGAAGCAACCTCCATTTCCCAGGCCAGCCGGGCGTTCATGCCTTCCTCTGCTTGCTTTGTTTCAGGTTGGAGCGTGGAGCCCTTCTGATGGTTTGAACATCACAGAAATTTCCAAAGGACGAGGGCCTAATGTCACAGACTCGCTGAGCAACAGATCTCTCATTGTCACCACCGTCCTGGTAGGAGATTGCAAGCCTCTCTTTTTCCTCCACCCACTAATATCGGGGAAAACCGGTACCTCTGAAAATTCGCAGCGTCCCCGTGCAGATCTGCCAGCCCCCGGGGAAAGCTGAGCAGGGGCAGCGAGAGGAGCGCTCTCGTTACAGAGGAAAACAGCCAGAGACCCTGGCTGAGCTGTGACAATCGTGTTTCTTTCCCCCTCTTCACTACACATTTGATGAACTAGCTAGGAGTAATGCCGTTACCCAGCAAACCACGGCGGCTTAACAGGTCTCCTCCGCTCCCAACTGTCGCGCCGCATTTCGTTCTCAAGTTGGCTATTGGCTTTGACGGCAGGCATCAGATCAGAATGAATTTTTATTTACTACGTAATGAATTATGACTAGTGGCACCGGTTTCTGTGGGGCTGCATTACACACAGCAGGCTCATGGCGTATCTCCAGAGCCACAAAAGATCCCAGCACTTGGGACACCCTGCCCACCATCAGGCCTGAATGAGCGGTTTGCCTATGGAAATTTTCTGGCCTTTTTGTTCCGTATTTTCAGGTCAGCATTTCCATCTCGTACTCTGTGAGCACGTACAGATTACGTTATGTACAAGGCCGATATGAGTTCCTACAAATTGTGCCATTCCTGAGGCCCGCACGCGTGCCACGGGGTATCGACCTCAAAACCACAGCTTTCCTGTCATTCCCTTGCCTGCAGGAGACCCAAGTTCTGCAATGGCTGCATTCCCATATACTGGGTTCTAAAATAGAAAATGCAACCCTAAATTTAATTTGCATTTGCGACACCTCTTTGTACTTTTGAACCGGTGTAAATGATCGTAGAAAAGCCATTGAAGGAACCTTTAAAAAAGAAAGCATGAAAGGTTATTTTTTCCCCTTTTGCTCATATTGCAGTGACTTGTTGGAAGAAAAATATTACCCCAGCGGCCAGCGCCACTCTCCCCAAGCAATACGGGAACTGTGAAGTTATGAAATTGAGGGCACCTTCACTGAGAAATCGATTAGCAAACTGAGAGAGCTTGTGAATTGGATGTCTGGCCATTTTCAGTAATAAATTGTGAAATAGTCCGTGAATAAGTGGTTCACAGAGTTCAGAATTACCCCCTAGGAAATGTTTGAGACCTGGAGATACGTTACTGAAGCGAGCGGTGTCCTAATGCTCAGTGCTTCGGCTGTTAAATATGTATGTAATCCCTACAGCGCTTCCCGAAATTAATAGTGCTTTATGGCTGCTCTGGAGCCGGCGCATTTATGTCAAGATCCAGCGATTCAGCTGATCCACAAACAAAGCACTAATTCCAGAGAAGAAAGCTGTGGAGGAAGCCAGGGAGAGCGGGATTTAACCGAGCTGTGCGTGCCAAGCTAAACTCTACAGGCGTGATGTCACCAGTTTCGCTTTATAATTCTGCGAATTGAGCTTTGCGTGCCCTCGCGTCCCCTCCCCAGGCTGCCTGCCTGCCCCAGGGAGGCAGGGGTCTCCCAGGGCAGAGGTGAGGGCTGGCAGGTCGTGCTGGGGGACAGGAGCCACCAACCTGCAGGCTGGCACAGCCCAGCTCTGGGTCCCAAGCCCCTCTTCAGCGTGACGCCCCCGTCCCGAGGCAGGGCCCTCGTGCTCTGCCACACGGGGCACCTCGGTGGTTCTTAGCGGGGACTCCAGACTCTCCCTCCCACAGTTTCAAGCCCCCCGTCCCACGCAACAACCGCAGGGACTGCAGCAACGCGGCTCGCTCACCAGAGCCACACGTGAGCCCTCCCCTCGCTGGCCACCCCGCAGCAAAGACAG